AACAAACCAAACCAAAACAACAACCAAGAACTAGGGAAACTTGTTACTGGCTGTAACACACTGATACATGACATTGTTACATGTTGTGGAACTGAGCCCACCCTTTAATCCTGAGGTTCATCTGCTGGGGCCAAGCACGCTTGGACGGTGGCAGCGAGGTCCTCAGGACGTAGATGGATTGCCTTATGGGCTAACGAGCTCCATCTGCCCGGGGAGTGTCCTAACCGGGAATCGAACCCAGATCTCAGCGTTGACAACGCTGTGGTTTAGCCACTGCACCACCAGGCACACTGTGTCTCACCTAAAAAATCCAATGCGCAGGCTGGAAGGTGTAAAGACCTTCCCCAGTTCTTCGTTCGCGAAGAGACTGGCCATTATTACATGTTGTAACTTACTGGTAGCAGGTAACAGGAGTTGGGTTGAGACCAAGGCTGGGTAATGAATAGCTTAGTTTTTGTTCTGTACAGAATTGCTCTCTTAAAGCTCCATTACACTTTGCCACCACTGTAAGACACTGTTAAGATATATGAAGGGGAAAAGACTATCATGAGGATTGCACAGGTCTGGTGGGAGTGAACCCTGCAGTCCCCAAGGTAAGAGACACCCCTCACTTAGCAGGATTAAGAGCTAAACAGACTGAAGGAAAAATAGGAGAAGAGGGTACAAATTACAGTGATAAAATCAGAGTTAACTCTGGGCTTCAGTGAACTTAATTGTTTGTATTTCAGTTTAAAAGAAGTGCTTTGGTGAGGAGAAGGTGAGCTGGCTTAGTGGGTAGGGTACCGTGTTAGGAACTGGGGATTTGTCCAACCTTCACCTAGATATCTTGTGTTACATGGAAAAACATTAAATCCTTCCTGTAACTCAAGTCCTTGTGAGGCTGCTCCTTCTCTATTTCCCAGTCATGTTGTGGTAAAAAGTCCACTGCCAAAGGGAAGATGTTCAGCAGCTGGTGGTGAAGGTCAGGTAAGAGCAGACACAACGACCATCAAACCAGTTGTGTGGTAACCTTAGAATTTTCATTCAAGTTTCCTATGGCAAGTACAGATTTAAAGTGACTATAAATTAGATACACCATGCTTTGTTCAGGTTGGTCATAAGATGAGTGCTCTTGAAAGATAGAGCTGACATGAAAAGGCTTGGAGCAACACAAGCTTTGCTTCAGTTGTCAGAAGTGTGTGCACACAAGACTGAACATACCAGCAAAACTGTATATGGGGCCTGGAAGAGCTGTAAGGAACCCAACCAGCTCCTGCCATCAGTGAAGCTGCATTCCTCTCTGGTATTAAAGCAGCAGGGTGTCCAGTGTGGAGGACAATAAATGGCAAACCATTACACATCAAAACGTGCACCTGTGAGCGACACACAACATACAGCAGCCAGAGCAGCTGAATTCTTTATACTTAAGCACACAGAGCCAGAGAAATAGAGTACCTCTTAGTAGCCATGCTTTGAAACATAACTGTAAAACAGAATGGGAAAAGGTCATCATCTTTGTTTGAGAACAGCTGATGTCCAAATGAATATTTTGCATCCAGCACGCACTAAATACTGAGATAAAAGTTGCATTAAGCTCAAGAGCATGGTTATATGAGAAGGAAGGGCAGGTCATTTTGATAATTTTAATATCTGTGTCATGACAATTAACACTGCTCTTGCCTGCCCCGCTCCTCCTGTTTACGGCCCAGCTGTCTTCACCTTTCAACCAGGTGAGTGAGGCAACTGAATTGATGAAACTATTTTTACCCTGCATGTCTTCTTCTGAAACAAAAGGCACAAAATATCCCTCAGCAAGGGTTTCTCCCAGTATTTCTTTCATTTATTCCTTTTGTGCTTTCTTTCTTCAGGCTTCCTTAAAAATGTAATTCCTATTTCTGTCACAGCATCACCCTTCAGCCTGTCCTGGAGGAAGGTGACTTC